GTTACTTCCTATTGATGGATATAGTCAACATTTTTTTTTTGGTTTATGTATGCCACAATCTTCTGCCTAAGGATATGTGCCATTTTCTGAAAAAAACAATAATATTTTTACAGCGTTGCTGTATTCATCTCTTGGGCCCGTCAAAATGCTGCAAAAGAGGCATTGAGGATGAGCCCTATAGTTTTAGGGTGCATTGCAGGCTCCTTTCTGTTAAGGAAGGCAGCTTCACGTGCATTTGAAATTAAAGGGAGATCTACACTTACCACTGATATAATTGAACACTTGGGGAGAAGGTCTGGTTTCCAGTTGATTCATACATGAACTGGATAATTTTGAACCTTCTAATTTTTTTTTGTAATTTTTTTTTTCTCTTTTTCCTGCATAACATTTTTTTTTTCTTTTTCGGGTTCTGCAGTTTGGAGGAATTCTGTCCAGTAATTCGGAGGTTGGATTAGCCATAGCACTTGAGTTGAGGTACTTTCACATGTCGCATATGAGTTGTAATTCAAAAGTCTTAAAAAACTCCTTTGCTTTTCGCACTTCTAAAATAATTATAAGTATCAATCAGTTATCTGAAAACTCGAAATGCCCTTGAACAATGAACTGATGGAGGTCTTTCCATCATACTCGTGTGTATGAAGAACCTTTGTCTGTTGGTTTATAGTTGTGATGTACCACATCAGAAATGATAATGTCTAGAACTAGTATCACAATGCATGAGTATCGTTATCTATATATATATAATTGCTAGCTAAGCAATAAATTTTACCTAATAAATAAAACCTAATAAATTTTACCTATGTGGCAAATCATTAATAAAACCTAATAAATAGAACCTAATAAATTTTATTTATGTGGCATTAACATACCCAATCTCATTAATAAAAAAATATTTCATTACATTTTATTGGGTTAATTAAGACAAAAACTATTATATTTTATGTTAATTGATTAATCAATTATATCTTTTATTGAATAATATAATAGTTAATATTAAAATTAGTAATTATATTTTATACTAAATAATATATGAAAGTTACATAAAATTATATTTTACACTAAAATCAATATTTTTTTATATGATGAAGATGTTGTTTATTAATAAATTAATTTTTTTTTTATGTCATAGTAAAATTTCTTAAAATCACATAAGCAATTGTTATAATAAATGTAATATTTTTCAGCTAATTAATTGGTCATGATCACTCAAAATTATAAAAAGTATATATTTATTACATTTTATGCAATCAATATAGTGATTCGTATACAATCAAATCGTGTGTACTATTTATTTTAACCAATGATCAAATTTTAAAATATAATACTATTATATAATTTATAATTTTAATATTATATACATAAATATAACTTATAATACTATATGTCTGAAATATAATACAATTATATAACTTATAATTTTTATATTATATACATAAATATAACTTATAATATTTAATTTTATTTATATCTGTGCAAATGCACATAGTCGAATACTAGTTATTGTAAAATTCATAAAACATGTGTAAATAATATAAAATAAAGTTTAACATATATTGTTAAAATGACATTATACTACTTGTTAGATAAAAAAACTTTAACGGATTTCATGCAATGAGTATATTTCGTGCAAGGGCATACTTCTTGCACTAAATACAAAATTATGATTCATTTTTTTACTCGTTTATATATTAATTTGAGTATCTAATGTTTGTCTTGAAAATATTATTTCATATTTTGAGAGACTTTATATATGAGTTGATTTTGTTGTTATATAATGAATCTAGTCAATTAATTTTGGAAGATATAGAGAAATTATTTGCTTTGTTATTTATATGGTGTATGATTTGTATAGGAAACTATTTATATAAATCATGTAGATAAATTGATTTCTTATTTATATAAATAAATTTATAACATATTTAGACGATAACTATGAATATAATTTTAGTGTTTGTTTGTTTTACAAATAATCGATTTTAACATGTTAATCTAATTCATATTAAATTAATTGTCATAATATTAAAATAATATAAAAGACGTCTAAAATTTATGTTTTTAGTGATTTCAAGTTCATGGATATTTAAACATTTCTAGGGGTTCATTGTGTCAAAAGGCACCATTCAGTCCTGTGTTCGGTCATCTAAAACTGAATTGGAACATTATAGGCATAAGCAGTTGTGTCCAAGCTGTAAGCTTGGACACAATTGATAAACAAACACAGGCGTGTCCACGCGCCGCGAATTGATACGCGCTTGTCCAAACTTTGAGTGGTGTCTCTCTTTTTTTTTCCTATTCATCCCCAACTAACCCTATTAGATTTGTAGAATGGTTAGTGCATGATTATAGCTCTTTGGCTTGTCCAAATATTTTTCAAAGAATAAATGTTTACGAATTCTATAATCTTTGAGTTACTTACACTCTATTTTGAGATATATAAAGCTTGACTCCCCATATTAAAACTTTATAATTAGTTTTCAATCAACCTAAAATAATTTAAGATTTTATTCTATGTCTTCCACTTATAAAAATGTAAAATCATAAAATAGGTATAAATCATTATTTAACTATTCTCATTTTTTCTTCTCAATTTCATTGTCACAACTAAATAATAAACTAATTATTAGTACACATTTTTCAACAAACTTTGCCATCTATGTATTACATATTTTTAATTATCAATCGTTCACATTCATTATTTTATTATTTTTTAATTAAATCAATTTTTATTGTTATATTTTATTTTTTATTCATTCGCATATTTTTCAATTACATTATTTTAATTATTATAATTTATTTAATATCCATCCACATTATAAGAAATATTTCTTCATTCCACTAAAAATATTCTTTTGCTCTTTAACTCGCCGTTTATGCAGATTGCCTAAAAGTAGAATTAATATGATAAGCTTTATGAAACCAAATACTTTGGCAGGTA